GCAACCGATATCCTCAAACTTCTGAAAACAGTAAAAGTCCCATCATAAGTAGCAGTTATACATTATCAAAAGCACTCAAGCACTCAAGAAGTAGTGCTCCCCCAAAAAAGAAAAAAAAATTCTAAATTGGCAAGCTAAATGAAGCACTCAAAAAAACCTGAATAATAACCGCTTTAATACCCAATAACAGAGCTAGAAATGAATAAATAAATTATCAACCATGAAATTACAAATAGATACAAAATAATTWAAAAAAATTCTGAAAATAAGTAAAAGCAGTTAAAAACAAGCCATTAGTAATACCTAAAAAAAAATTGTAGTATACTATGAACATTGTAACCATAATAAAAATCAGTGGACCATAAATCCTCTTTACCAGTATCTCAAAGCACAGATTGCAAGCACAGGTCTGTTAAAAGTTATGAAAAATGTAACCTGACAATGCCAAATCTGTCTATAAAACAATTCCAATGCAACACTGAAAACAAAAAATGATTGACCCAGAACACCCTTCCTCCCCCCGCGCAAAAGGTGCAGCCCACCCCTCTCCCGGCACCACCCACCCCCTCTTAAGGCCCCCCCCCCGGGGACTTGGAGCAGCTACGCTCCGTTAAGCGCTGCGACCCGAGCACGGGATTCGAACCCGAGTCTCCTGCGCGCGAGGCGGGAAGCCTGTCCACTATACCAACAGGCAGGGCTTGCAAGGGGTTGGCTTTTAGGCAGTGTCATTTGGGTTTCTGAGAGCTGGAGGTGCGGAACGGCTGGACATGGGCTTTGCCGCTTTCCGTAGTCCCCTTCCCGGCAGCCCCCCCGAGCCCCGGGGCGGGCGCTTCCGGTTCCGGCCTCTCCCGAGCCCGCGGTGGCGGCGGGCTATGGGCACGGCCGAGCCCCGGGGCTGCCGCCGCCGCCGCCGCGTTCCCGTCGCACCCGAGATGCTCGGCAGCGCCCGCTCCGTCTCGCCCGGCGGCCGAGCCTGTACGGACTGTCCCGTGGTGTCGGTCCCGGTCCCGCGGTGCCGCCCCGCTCTCCGTCCGCTCGCACCGGGGGGAGGGGGGAGTGGCCCGCGGGTCCGACACAGCTCGCCTCAAGTCCCGGCGGGGAGTTCTTACGAGGAGCAGAACCCAACAGTCGGTTCGGGAGTACTCCTGTGATTCTACCCTGGTAAGCGCTTACGATCTGTGGGGAGTTTCCCATGTAATTACAAACCTAGGAACCCGGGAATTTTGCTGGCAGAATCCCAATTCTGGCGACGGCACCTGGACGAGAAGAGCCGTTGTTTTCCATGGAAAGGAAAGCCCGGCATGCCCCGCTGTTTCAGATACAGACAAGGGAGCGTACAGGGGTGGGAAGGTCCGGCAGCCCTTTGTCCATCTCCCCCCCAGTCCTGGGTAGAGCGGCCCCAGGTATGGCCGGTGAAGCTGAAGATTGGGCGGCTCCCGCCGGGGGCTGCTCTCAGAGGGTTCCCCTGTGCAGGGACCTGCTAGTCCAGAGGGGTCAACTGGGGCACYCCGAGCGTCCTCCGGGAACGATGGGGCCGGGACAGGGGTCGGGCAGAAGCCGGACGCACCCGGGCACAGAACAGCGCAGTGAGAAAATGCTGAGGCAAAAGCTCTCGTGCCAAGGGACAGCACCTGAGAAAGCAGGGCAGCGTGTGGGGTCCCAGGGGGAAATTGCCTCTTTCATCTCATTAGTCCCTCCCCAGGGCCCCCAGTCCCTGCACAATGCCCTCAGAAAACAGAAGGGTTATTAA